ATATTTCGTACATCTAGTAGAAATCCAAACAGTGAATCTAAATCTAGTAAGCGAGAAAATCTTCCTGTTATTTCTGTAATCAAGCGATCAATAACATCCTATTATACGTGGCGTACGTTTTTTGAGGGGTGGTTAATGAAAGTGCTCCAAAACGCGACATTAATTTCTTGAAGATCTAATAATAACGTAAGCACGTGTCTTTCTGGGGTTATTCAATATCATTGAACGTATATGTTGGCGAGTTTAAATTTGTTACATCACGGCTGTAAAAAGGGAGCTCCAAAACGCAGTGTGTGGTTATTCTGGTTTTTATTTATTACGTAGTTTTAGAAGTGGACTCCTACATCATACATCCTCGACAGATTTTCATTAATTAATTATTTATTCATCTTGAAAATGAAGAAATAATGAAAAGATAACATAAATATAAAATCTGGTGTTTATTTCAAAATAACTGCAATAATAAGTACCGTACAACATTTTCACCTTTCAAGACTTTTATTTTACAAACCAAAAATCTCAAGATATATCACACCCCTGAAAGCTATATTTGGGGATTAATTCCCCACCCCCAGCTACTTGAAAACTTAATGTAGCTGAACTGTTATTTTAACTAAATATTAATAATTAGATCTTCAATGGCTCAGCTGTACCTCTTAAGGTTTATAATGCTAAAAATCGGGTTTAGATATCCGCGGTGTGCAGAGCACAAATAGCCCAGTGTGTTGCTTTGCTCTTAAAAAAAAAACCTTTCGAGCGCAAAGAACATCGATCTGAATACAGTTATTTAACAACAAATGTGTGAAAAAAATTCGAAATTTTCTCCAAGCTGACTCACTATAAAGCTTCTGATTGGTATATTTATAAACAACTTAATTGTGATTGGTTTGTGTATAAAGAAACTTAACTCTGGTTGGTATGCTTATAAAGAACCTGAGATCTAATTGATATTAGGCATTCTTTATCATAACCATTTATTTACATTCTGCAAGTTTCAATATTAGGCTTACTCGACACACCGCTAGATGGGGTATGTTAAGGGGATTTCAAAACTTGAGTAAAAATGTTTTATAAGAACACTTTATTAGCCTAATGACAAGCTCTAACAACAAAGACAAAATGTTTTCATCATGCATGTTAAAAAAATAGAAATAAAACTAATATATATATATATATCAAGAGAAAAAAAGAAACACCATCTTATTTTCATGTTTATAAATGTCAAAACCAAAGAATATAATTTCAAAATGATACTTCAGAAGTGTTAGTTTCTTCATGAAAAAGAAATAAGCCTTGGAAAGTTTCAAATCATTAAACAGATCTTCGTTAGCTCCGGTATAATCTTCTCAGCCTAGTGTTTGGATTAAGAATTAATCTAAACCTTCTAAGGTGGCTTAACCTTGAAATATATTAATTTAGAAAACTCACAGGATAATCCCGATAAAAGAAATAAGCCTTGGAAAGTTTCAAATCTTGATCATTAAACAGTTCATCGTTAGCTCCGGTATAATCTTCTCAGCCTAGTGTTTGGATTAAGAATTAATCTAAACCTTCTAAGGTGGCTTAACCTTGTAATATATTAATTTAGAAAACTCACAGGATAATCCCTATAAAAGAAATTAGTCTTGGAAAGTTTCAAATCTTGATCATTAAACAGTTCATCGTTAGCTCCGGTATAATCTTCTCAACCTAGTGTTTGGATTAAGAATTAATCTAAACCTTCTAAGGTGGCTTAACCTTGAAATATATTAATTTAGAAAACTCACAGGATAATCCCGATAAAAGAAATAAGCCTTGGAAAGTTTCAAATCTTGATCATTAAACAGATCTTCGTTAGCTCCGGTATAATCTTCTCAGCCTAGTGTTTGGATTAAGAATTAATCTAAACCTTCTAAGGTGGCTTAACCTTGTAATATATTAATTTAGAAAACTCACAGGATAATCCCGATCCAATATTTAGTGTAATTTTTTATCCTGGAATGATTTATAAATGAAAAGAATAAAAAGTGTCACTCCGCAAGTTAAAAAGTAAAGTATAAATAACGGTTTACAGTCAAATAAGATAAATTAAACATAACACACAGAACACGTCCTGTCATTTAAAGTATTATATACATCTATATAATTGTACTATATAATTGACCATTCCACAAGGTCTGGTTTCTAGTATTAGGTACATGTCTCTGTACGCCTCTACATGTACTGTAATTGACCATTCCACAAGGTCTGGTTTCTAGTATCAGGTACATGTTTCTGTACGTATCTACATGTACTGTAATTGACCATTCCACAAGGTCTGGTTTCTAGTATTAGGTACATGTTTCTGTACGTCTCTACATGCTACTGTAATTGACCATTCCACAAGGTCTGGTTTATAGTATTAGTACATGTTTCTGTACGTATCTACATGTACTGTAATTGACCATTCCACAAGGTCTGGTTTCTAGTATTAGGTACATGTTTCTGTACGCCTCTACGTGCACTGTAATTGACCATTCCACAAGGTCTGGTTTCTAGTATTAGTACATGTTTCTGTACGTCTCTACATGTACTGTAATTGACCATTCCACAAGGTCTGGTTTCTAGTATTAGGTACATGTCTCTGTACGTCTCTAGATGCACTGTAATTGATTATTCCACAAGGTCTGGTTTCTAGTATTAGGTACATGTTTCTGTACGTCTCTACGTGCACTGTAATTGACCATTCCACAAGGTCTGGTTTCTAGTATTAGGTACATGTTTCTGTACGTCTCTACGTGCACTGTAATTGCCCATTCCACAAAGGTCTGGTTTCTAGTATTAAGTACATGTTTTTGTACGACTCTACATGTACTGTAATTGAATATTGAATTCCTAAATGAAACACTGATAAAGAAAACACGTTCTGTCTTGGTGCTCACATACACTTTTACTGTGTTGTAATTAGGATATTATACAGTATGATATAAAATATTAAAAAAATACGTTTGTGTTCACGATGAAGATAGCGTTTGAGAAGCTTTGCGCTTAACAACAAAAGAAACGACCCAGTAGTGTGAAATGTGAATATAAAATTGTTTATATACACATTTCTACTAAGCTAAGCAACTGACTGTCATAACATATGATGTAACACGGGATCATCAGGACAGGTAGCCATGACATATGGTGTAACATGGGATGATCAGAACAGGTAGTCATGACATATGATGTAACATGGGATGATCAGGACAGGTAACCATGACATATGATGTAACATGGGATAATCAGGACAGGTAATCATGACATATGATGTAACATAGGATGATCAGGACAGGTAACCATGACATGATGTAACATGGGATGATCAGAACAGGTAGCTATGACATATGATGTAACATGGGATGATCAGAACAGGTAACCATGACATATGATGTAACATGGGATGATCAGAACAGGTAACCATAACATATGATGTAACATGGGATGATCAGAACGGGTAACCATGACATATGATGTAACATGGGATGATCAGAACAGGTTACCATGACATATGGTGTAACATGGGATGATCAGAACAGGTAACCATGACATATGATGTAACATGGGATGATCAGAACGGGTAACCATGACATATGATATAACATGGGATGATCAGAACAGGTTACCATGACATATGGTGTAACATGGGATGATCAGAACAGGTAACCATGACATATGATGTAACATGGGATGATCAGAACAGGTAACCATGACATATGATATAACATGGGATGATCAGAACAGGTTACCATGACATATGGTGTAACATGGGATGATTAGAACAGGTAACCATGACATGATGTAACATGGGATGATCAGAACAGGTTACCATGACATGATGTAACATGGGATGATCAGAACAGGTAACCATGACATATGATGTAACATGGGATGAAGAGGACAGTTAGTCTACACAACCAGGTTCTCTGTATCATCTTCTTGAGATCGGTTTATTTTCTTAGCCAGTTCTGACGTTACTTCTTGAATCACCACGGGGTCTACATTTTTTGCTACCATGTAGAGGAGAAACCAATCACCGACGTCGCTGTATCGAGAAATGTACTTAAGGTCGTTATGGGCAGCTAGGCGACATCTACCTATTAAGAAACGAGCCCGCAACCGTCTGAACACTAGAATAACGAAACGATTTATGAGGACCAACGTCGTTAATATGGCAAGAATGATGAACCAAAACCAAAGGAATATGTATATCTTCTCGTTGACGATGTTCAGAGGAAGGATACACAAGGCATCGTGCTTCTGGACATCCCCAGAAAATCCGAACTGGTGGAATCGACACTTGGTCATACGTGGAAAAACAAAGACCATCGGGTCAACTCTCTCCTCCTGGTTCATCTGCGCGAACTGTACAACTTTAATACCGTAGCTGAAAAATTCGTCATCCAAAAAAATATTCATGAGCCACATCTGACCGACGACATTTACGAGGCACAGGAATTCACAAAACACGTATTTAACAGCATACAATTTATGCGTTCCTTTGTGGCTTAACAAATAATTAGTTAATAGCTTTCTCTTTTTCTCGCGCTCCTCATCCGAAAGTACAGCTACGTGCATTCCGAGGGATACTGCGGTGATTAGACCGCCTTCCCATATTTTCCATATGTAATACGGCGCATAAAAAAGTAGTGCTTGGAGAAATAGGACAAAGCAAACCCATTGATAATACGCGTAGTATTTTTTCTCTCCCATTTTTGTATTGTCAATTCCCGGATGCGGAACATCAACACCAACGTTCTTTTTAAAAGCTTCCGGAATAGTAAATGTGGTGTGAATCCAACAGTAGGCATTCATGACGTCCTCCGGAATACCATCCGTCTGCAAGCAGGCGATAGCCTGGCCGACATATTGTTTAGCAGTAATCATAATGCTGAAGACCATGAGTAAAGTGGAAGTAAACATCCAGTGTAACCGAAATACAGCGTTGTCTATCACTTCCGGTCGTCGTTTGAGGAAATGTTTTAGGGTACCGAACAAATGTATCATTACGCTCCGAGTAAAGTAACTCTACTTGGTTATCTCTCAAGTTGATATTTTCTAGACAAATCCAGTTCCTCTTTTCACCTCCAAAGTGTTTCCATCTAGAAGATATTAAAAAACCAGTCTGGTATAACCTTGTCTTCAGATATTAAAAAACCAGTCTGGTATAACCTTGTCTTCAGATATTAAAAACCAGTCTGGTATAACCTTGTCTTCAGATATTAAAAAACCAGTCTGGTATAACCTTGTCTTCCTTCCCTATTGAGAATGAAAAAAAACACCATCGATTAAAAAGACAGAAAAACAACAACAACAACATTGGGGAAATTCTTGTTTATGATTACTATAAATAACTCTTCAGACATTAAATATTCAGTGAGGTTTTAAAATATTCTATTTAAACACAGAGAACCGAAATATTGAAAAACTAATAGCAAGAAATTGTTATAAAGACAAATTAACACCAGATGTATACCCCCTCCCATTTCACACTCCTATTAACTTGTCCAGAAGTGTGTGAAATATAGCATGTTAGACACCTCTGATTTCGGTATGTCTGCAGACTTACAACGCTGGAAACCGAGTTTCGATGCCCGTAGTGTGCAGAGCCCATTGTTTAGATTTGTGCTTAATTACAAAGGAACGAACTGCGATAAACAATTTAAAAGGAAAGTGGAAAAAAAAATCTGCACTTAATTTGTTCTATAGCAGGTTTTATAATATGTCACTTGTTCTAAGATCTTAAGCCTAAAATGTGGTTTTGGAAACCATATGTTCTACCATATCTACTGAAGGTCAGTACAAGACTTAACTGTTCATCATGACATTGTTGTATATTTAAAAATATTATAAAGCAGATGAAATCAGTACTGTTAAATTTATTTTACAGCTCTATTAGTCCAAAGTCACATTTCAAGTAGTTCACTAAAAATATGAGTGTGTACATGTAAAACTAACACATTATCACTATAAAATTATCACGTTATTACTGTAAAATTATCACATTATTACTGTAAAACTAACACATTATTACTGTAAGATTATCACGTTATTACTGTAAAACTAACACGTTTTTACTGTAAAATTACCACATTATTACTGTAAAACTAACACATTATCACTGTAAAATTATCACATTATTACTGTAAAACTAACACATTATTACTGTAAAACTAACACGTTTTTACTGTAAAATTACCACATTATTACTGTAAAACTAACACATTATCACTGTAAAATTATCACATTATTACTGTAAGATTATCACGTTATTACTGTAAAACTAACACGTTTTTACTGTAAAACTAACACGTTTTTACTGTAAAATTATCACATTAACACTGTAAAACTAACACATTATCACTGTAAAATTATCACATTATCACTGTAAAATTACCACACTATTACTGTAAAACTAACACGTTTTTACTGTAAAATTACCACATTATTACTGTAAAACTAACACATTATCACTGTAAAATTATCACATTATTACTGTAAGATTATCACGTTATTACTGTAAAACTAACACGTTTTTACTGTAAAATTACCACATTATTACTGTAAAACTAACACATTATCACTGTAAAATTATCACATTATTACTGCAAGATTATCACGTTATTACTGTAAAATTATCACATTATTACTGTAAAACTAACACATTATTACTGTAAGATTATCACGTTATTACTGTAAAACTAACACGTTTTTACTGTAAAATTATCACATTGTTACTATAAAATCATCACATTTTTACTTTAAAACTGACAAGTGTTTAGTGTAAACTAACTATTTTTTGGCCAATTACGTTAAACACTTTTTTTTTTAATCTTCGGATCTGCGCATGCGCTTTGCGACAATGTATGACATCATCCATATTTTCCCAGTAATATGTTGAAACTCAGTTCGGTTAATCGTCCTCGAGTTGAATTTATTTTAATGTTTTTCAAAGATAACTAAATTTCGTGACTAATGGTTCACATGAAAGGCTGTAATCAACACACTGGTTATTCTACAACTAAAATCGTTACTATTGAAACCGAACCGAAGCAAATGTTGGAAAGGTTCCATTTAAAATAGCAGGTAGTGCTAGCCTTAGTCTGTTGCCACGGTAACCTGGGTTTCGTTTCCTTTGGTCCTTGCGTTGAAATAAACAAACTTCAGAAAAACTGATACAGTTTTTATATACAAATATGTGCATGTATATATATATACACATCAAGTGAAGGATTTTTGTGACGAAAGGAATATTTTAAATAAAGTCACGTAGAAATGTAGCCTTTTAAAAGTCTTATCTCTTACAATTATTTTAAGAACACTACTATTTGTTACTAGAAAGATACTTTAATAAAACAACGCAAAATTAAATTGTCTTTCAACTAGCAGTAGTCAAACACCACTACTAGGAAGGTGTACTGCTAAACCAGTTCGGAATTCAGTTAGAAATACGCGTGAAAGCAAATGGAAAACGTGGTTTAACTAACAATAGATGTTTGAGACCTACACGATGATATACACAGCTGATAACGTAACTCCTCTTCTCCGGAGGACATAAGAATCATTCTAATTATACTTCAGTGGTTTAACTAACAATAGATGTTTGAGACCTACACGATGATATACACAGCTGATAACGTAACTCCTCTTCTCCGGAGGACATAAGAATCATTCTAATTATACTTCAGTGGTTTAACTAACAATAGATGTTTGAGACCTACACGATGATATACACAGCTGATAACGTAACTCCTCTTCTCCGGAGGACATAAGAATCATTCTAATTATACTTCAGTGGTTTAACTTTTACGTTCCTCTTGTTGGAAGTGGTTTAATCAGTACAGACAATAACGGAGGATTCTCCACCATTCGACAGTGCAATGCTGCCAAGGGGATCTTGTGGCCGAGGTTTGTTCACGACCTATTCCAGGAAGGAAGCGTTCAATGTTCCCCATGGAAACGGGGGGGGGGGTCGAGTAGTAGAGCGTTTACGACTGCAAATAGCTCCAGAACCAGTCCGGAACAATGCTATTATCCGCAATGTGAGGGCTATGGTTTATTACAGATAATGTATAAGAATTTGAAATCATAAATTCACGAGCTTTCTTTCAACCACACCTCATAATTAACGTTTGTTTTCGCCAGAAAGATGGCCGAAATAGCAGCAGTCTCATTCGACCTCAAATTGTCAACTTCATGTACAACGGACTTTACATTTGACTTCAAACTGTCAACTCCATGTACAACGGACTTTATGGTATTCAAAGTTGACACCTACGTATAGTTAAGATGTGTAGTGTACACTAACCTCACTTTTATAGTTAAGATGTTTAGTTTACACTACACATCTTAACTATAAAAGTGAGGTTAGTTTACACTACACATCTTAACTGTAAAAGTGAGGTTAGTTTACACTACCCTCACTTTTACAGTTAAGATGTGTAGTGTAAACTAACCTCACTTTTACAGTTAAGATGTGTAGTGTAAACTAACCTCACTTTTATAGTTAGGATGTGTAGCGTAAACTAACCTCACTTTTATAGTTAAGATGTGTAGTGTAAACTAACAAACTACAACGGAACAAGTAGTTGACAAAACTAGCTTAAACTCGTGCATTAAACTTAGATAATTTGTGGAAAACACTTAGTTGTAAGTTAGTCCGATCGATATTTTTCAGTTGTTTATAGTAACTAAAATAAAATCTCACGCTCTAAGCCAATGAAATGGAAAGTTCTGTGCAACGAGCTCAAACTACTGAGCATGCGCATAGTAGAAACGTTCCCCGCGCATTAATTATTTTTCACTTAAATACGTTTCTCACGCTAGAATGTATTGTTTCGACTAAGAAAAAATGTCGGAAAAAAATTAGAAAGGTTTACTTGATACGAAAGCACGCGCTAGCATTTGAACGTAAGCAACGTCTGCCTTGAATAAAGGAAAAAAAATAACACTAACCTTTTTGGTAATGTAAATCCTGCCTTCTTTCGAGCTCAGATGAATTCGTCTGATTCACATGTTTGTAAACGCGTCATATACCAGGATAAAAGACGTGTTTCCACGAATGTTTTATTAAACTTGTTTCAATTATCAAAGTAAAGAAAAACCCGTGAAACAGAGTTAAACCGTTTTTCTCTAATAATACCAAGTTTCCCTTTCGCACGTGCACTTTCAGGGTTAAAAGAAACGAAATGAAGCTGTAGGATGACGAGATGAAAGAGGTAAGGGAACGTTTCAAGTAAACGACGTTTCGACGCTTTTCCTCACTATTCTAATGTGAGACTTTGAGATGTTTTTTTTGCGCTTTCTGCGAAATTTGTAAATAGCCCCTGATGTGTAAGGGGTTTCTCGTCCCCTGATAATACCAGCTTTTCTTGGCTGTCTTTAGCAGGAAAGTTTATATACCATGTGAAGGGAATAGCGACTGTAAATCATAAAAAAAAAGTAATACCGTGTTTTTGATGTTTTAGTTATAATTTACAAATTTCTTAGCCCAATCACAAATAGCCATTACTAAACGTACCGGTATCTACCAAGACATGACGAACTAATCGGGCTCATTATGGGCTATGTCCGCTGTGCCCACCAGTAGGAATCGAACGACAAATTACATATCTACGCACTTACGTTTGAATCACCGGGATTGGACGAGGTTTGTTAGTTTGTTTTATTGTAAGCGTAAAATTGCAACAATGGGCTATCTGCTCCGTGTTCACCGGCAGGGATCGAACCCCCATATTATAAGTCCTCGAGCTTACCTTTCAGCCATTGAGGAGGGGATTAGTGGAGAAGGTAATTTGAATATTAAAAGTCATTTTGTTCGTTCTGACAGCTGACAAAAAATAGATAAATTAAACGAACACAATAAATAAAAGATGGTTTACAAAAATATAAATTTCTAAGTAAAACTTCGAAGTGTCTGGCTGAAAACGAAGCGAATCGTTCGATGAGTTTCTCCACTCCATCTGTCACAGTTGTTTTATTTTTTAGACCCTGATTAACGAAACTAGTTTCGGTAAAAAAAAAAAAATGTCTAGTTTTCAATTTCATCTCCCTTTCTGTTACACGAGCGATGAAGTTGAGCAGTTTTGTTGACATTCTGAAATATCCTCTCTCCACCGTGGTTACTATAGTTACACTAAAATAGCAATCTCGTGCAATCATTTTAAAAGTTCCGCTATAGATCTGACAAAAAGCGTTTCTCTTGTAACGTCATTATTCTCCCCCCCCCCCCGATAACTTTCATGTTGTTGTTAAGCGCAGAGCTACACAATGGGCTATCTGTGCGGTGCCCACAACGAGTATCGAAACTCCATAGTGCAAGTTGTACTGCCTGTTAACAGTAGATCAATTACTGCTTAAACATTTTATCATTAAGGTCTTGCTAAAATCCGGGGTTTGATTTCCCTGTGAGGGGACAGAGCGTAGATAGCCCACCTTGCAGTTTTGTGCTAAAAAAGAAACACTTCATTTAGTAGAGTATTCTGTAGAACTATGAAACAGGAGAAATGGTCAATACGTGTCATTATCTCTTATCCTATCAAAGTCCAGTTCTGTGATGAATAAAACAAAAACAAAACCTTTCCGAAAACTTAACGAAAAAGGACAAGTAGCACAAGTAACACTAGTTTGTGTGTGTCCTTCGCGGGAATATTTTAGGCAGTTTTTGTTTTCCAGTTGCTGTTTTTTTATACCCAGAGCTGTAGCTGAAAAAGAAAAACGTTTACACCAACACGCTGTTAAACCTTCTATAAACAACACGTGAATAGAAATGCAGTTTGAACCTAATGTATTTCGGTTTTTGAATTTCACTCAAAGCTACTCGATCGCTAGCCGTCCCTAATTTAGCAGTGATACACTACAGGGAAGGTAATTAGTCAACCCCACCCACCGCCAACTCTCTGGCTGCTCTTTTACCAACGAATAGTGAGATTGGCCGTCACATTGTAACGGTGACGGTATTCGAACCTGCGACCCGCAGGTTGCAAGTGGAGTGTCTTAACCACCAAATCATGCTAGGCCATGTGAGATAAGAATACATTCATTTGACCCGACTGCGTTAGCTTAGAAATAAATAAATAACACGAATTAAACAAAGCAGCCTAAAGATAAACAGAAAACAAAGAAACATGAACAAACAGCACAACATTGCGATAAACAAACAAAAGATAAAGATAAACAGAAGGTAATGTAAAGCGATCAAAGGTCACAGCTTAGCAACAAATAAAGCAACATAATCAAGCAGTACAAACTGGTTATAAACAAAAAATAAGTAACACGAATGAAGGTACAAACTATTGATAAATAATAACGCAACATTGAGGAAACAGTGTAGCTCAATGATGAACAAAGAATATCTGGAAATAAACAAGGCAACATCTAACAATGAACGAACAATACTCATAATTAAACAATGAACAACTAATATTTAACACACGTAAATACATTTAAAGATAGAAGGGATGGAGACAAAGTACCCTAACCATGTTTTATGTAAATAATATTTAGGTTAAACATCTAAAAAATATGAAGTAATATAATAAGTCAGCTACAATATATCTAAACAATACACTCAAAGTAACGTGTGCGCACTGCTATAAAAAAAAGTCAGGTGAAAAAAAAATAAACAATTTAAATGTGTTTCTTGTATTCTACCGCTAAAAGAAAGTAGTCCGTTTTCATTTTAATACAGTACATCAGTAAAACGTGTTTGTTTGTGTATAAATACTCCGTTACATTTGCATAAACGTCTATTTTTCAGCCATGTAAACATATTGAATACAAAAAGTAGTTTGGTTTCATAATTTATTATGGAGCTTAGAGACTGGTAAGGACTAAAAAAAAAGTGATTTAAAAATAGAATATTCTTTAAACCAATGAGCTGCCTCGCGCATGACTTCAAAGCTAGATTGGCATACACGCCAAGGGGTTATGTTACGTCAGTCCATATACAGCAACGTCATTTGTATTGAATTAAGTTACACGCATATTGAATACATGTTTATCCGAACAGTCCCGATTGATAAATATTATCCGAAGAGTCCCGATTGATAAATATTATGATACTTCTACTACATATATATAGTTTATTTTTTGTTCCTTACTTTTCTTATATATCTCTTTAGTTTATCTACTTTTTTCCACATATTTAGTACCTTATTTATATTTCTGTGTCACTCTTAACCTACACACGAGACTACGGTTGCGCGACACACACACACAAAAACTGTCCTGAAAAGTATTTCATTAATTTTGTAACGCCTTATGTATTGAACAATCTTTCAGGTTCCATGCTACCCTTAGGCTTAGGTCCTCCAGTGGGGCAGCGCTAAGTTCACGGACTTACAACGCTAATATTTGGTGTTTGATTCCCAGCGGTGGACACAGCAGATAGCCGAATGGGGCTTTGCTCTAAAACAAACAAAAACGTCACCCTTAGAACCACTTCTTCTAACGTCTAATGGCCATGATTACGATTTATTGTTCGAAATCACATTTCCCATAGTAACAACATACTGTGAAATACGATGAAGTCAATATTAGATCACACATCTTGACAAACCCAGACACACTTAAGAAAGCCAAAGGCATAAAATCCAATGGTGCTAGGAGCTATTTCTAACTTCATTGCAGCTTTTAGGGTCAAAGGGTTCTCCTTCGTTCTTTACTTTACAAATAAAGGCATTACACCCTGTTTGCTTGGGCACAGTTTCGGAGGCGTCCGAAACGCTCTGATTTGTGAGTTTTCTTTCTTCCACAATGAGCATTCAAAGTTTTATTTTTTTTTAATTGTACGGATATCATTTGCTGGAAATACTATGTCCTGTTACAGGAGCGTCCGGTCGAATGATCAAGAATTCGCTGTGAACCAGAGTTACAAATTCTAAATATGTTTTCCATGCATCTTCAGAGATACGCCACTAAAATATGCATATCGTTCCTACAAGGTGCGAATCTCTGTGCAATACAAAAAATCCCTTCAAATATTAAACAAATAATAATACATGTTAGTTCTACCTATGTGACACTATATTAGTCTGTACAATACATTGAGTTTTGTCCTCAAGTATCAATATGTTTTTTCCACACAACAACTTTCCATGTGATGTTATAGGTGGTTTTCTCTTCGTATAATACGTTTTTTACATTCGAGTCTGTAATTTTATACTGCAGGTGGCTTCTAGAAAATGACAGGTTTCGTTTAATCCTCATTTCGTCATACGACAGCCTGCAATATCATACCAAACACGACTTGTAGAAAATAACTGTTTTCGTCTTAATGTAATACTTTTTTCTACGAACGACAGACCCACTGAGGTAATTTATGTAACTGGTAAAAAGTAACCGGTTTCATCTTAATGTGATACTTTTTCTACGAACGACAGACCCACTGAGGTAATTTATGTTAATGGTATAAAGTAACCGGTTTCATCTTCATGTAGTACGTTCTCTATTAGTACTACAGTCCATAATGTAATACTTCAAGTGAATAGTAGAAAGTAGCCGGTTTCATCTTCATGTAGTACGTTCTCTATGTACGACGGTCCCCAATGTGATACTGCATTTGAATATTAGAAAGTAACCGGTTTCATCTCCATGTAATACGTTCTCTATGTACGACAGCCATCAATGTAATACTTCAAGTGAATATTAGAAAGTAACCGGTTTCATTTCCATGTAGGACGTTCTCTGTGTACGACGGTCCCCAATGTGATATTGCATTTGAATATTAGAAAGTAACCGGTTTCATCTCCATGTAATACGTTCTCTATTTGTACTACAGTCCATAATGTAATACTTCAAGTGAATATTAGAAAGTAACCGGTTTCATATCCATGTAGTATGTTCTCTGTGTGCGACGGTCCCCAATGTGATACTGCGTTTGAATATTAGAAAGTAACCGGTTTCATTTCCATGTAATACATTCTCTGTGTGATACTGTATTTGAATATTAGAAAGTAACCGGTTTCATCTCCATGTAATACGTTCTCTGTGTCCGACGGTCCCCAATGTGATACTGCATTTGAATATTAGAAAGTAACCGGTTTCATTTCCATGTTGTACATTCTCTGTGCACGACGGTCCTCAATGTGATACTGCATTTGAATAATAAAAAGTAACCGGTTTCATCTCCATGTAGTACATTTTTTATTCACAGTACATTCGATAAACAACTTTTCTTCCTTAAGAAGAAATTCACAAGAGAAAAGATTGCATTAAT